TTTTTTTTTTTTTTGCGGTACTGGGGATTGAACTCAGGACCTTGCACTTGTGAGATAGGTGGAGTACCACTGAGCTAAATCCTGGGCCCTAATTTATTCAATTCTTTAAACCTAGCCAATAGTCCCTTAGACGAAGGACTAATATCTTGAACATACAAAGAATTGAAAAATATCAGATCTCCCCGCCCCTGCCGCAAATTTAAAGACCCAGTCCAAAAGTGAGTGTTTGAAATGAATACATACTCCTCAGGTGAAGAAGTACAAATGGCATATAAATACATGAAAAACTGTTCAACATCACTGGTCATCTGAGAGATGCAAATTAAAACAATGCAGAGATACCATCTCACTCCAGAAAGAATAGCTAATATTAAGAAATTGACCAACAGCAAATGCTGGTGGGGATGTGAGGGAAAAGAAACCCTTCTCCACTGTTGATGACAGTGCAGACTGGTGCAACCACTGTGGAAATCAGTTTGGAGATTCCTCAGAAAACTAGGACTAGAGGTCCCATTTGACCCAGCTATTCCTCTTCTGGGTATCTTCCCCAAAGAACTAAAAACATCATTCCATAACGATATATGTGCACCCACATTTATAATGACATGGTTTGTAATAGCTAAATATTGGAAAGAACCCAAATGCCTATCAACTGTTAAATGGATAAAGATGTGTATTTTCTGTACAGTAGAGTACTACTCAGCCTTAAAGAAAGATAAACTTTAGACATTTATAGATAAATAGATGTACCTTGAAGCTATACTCTCAAGTAAAATAAATCAGACATGTAAATAGCACATTCTCTCACTGGTGTAAGAAATTGAGAATGTAAATAGGGATCAAAAGGCACAATAAGACAAGGTGATATAAGAAAAAAATCATTCAATAGGAAGGGGGAATTAGAAAGGGGGTAGGGGGAAAAGGAAGGAAAAAGAAAAAATTAGAAAAGGAAATAATGAAAATAGAACTTTTATAAATAAGGAAGGGGAAGAGGGATTGAAAAGAGGGGAAAGGAATGGACAAAAAAAAAATAAAGATACATCATGTAGGGCAAAGGATTACCTCAGTGGTGCCATGCCTGCCTCACAACTGCAAGGTCCTGAGTTCAATCCCCAGCACCAAAAACAAACAAAAAACAACAACAACAAAAAAAACCACCATGTAAAGGTACAAACTCCCTATGATGAATGTGATCATTATGTAAATCTAAATTGCATAAATAAAATTTTAAATTAAAAGGCTGTCTCTAAATAGAGTCAGATTCAGCGATATTGAGGCTTTGACAATGAAAGCAGGAGCAAACAACTTAACCCACAGTATTCTCTGATTTATGATCAAGAGATGCCTAGTGGTGAAGGGTATCTGGTAGCAGCAGGCATAATCAGCATCCTCAGAGAGCCTGAGACACTTCAGATCATGATAGTCTAAATTACGAGCTCTATGAATGTAGCTAGAACAGGAAAAATGGTCTTATAAAACCATAACTGTGCCATACACAAGTCCTCCATATTTATGTTCAGTACTTTAAGGTTTGCCTGAAACATGATGGTAGGCCTGGAAGGTTTTATGTCACTTGGCAGTGCCCTTCCTTCTTGTCCACCTTCCCATGGTGTTGTAGGAAATGCTGTCCTCATTGACCTAGCCCCACCTTTTCCTTAAGTCCAAGATCTCCAGAATCTGCTGGTTAGGGTACATCACTGATGATACATGGATTAGCCCAAAAGATGAGGCAGCTTTAACCCTGCAGCCTCAGTACACAGCTGCTGAACTTAAATTAGGGTGTCTCCCTGTGACCAAACAGGAAGCCTCATTCAGAGTGAAAATTGCTCGTGGATCCTTCAGTGACCTATTTGTCTTTGCTTAATTGAAAGCAGATGCTATGGGGAACTGTTTTTTAGCCAGGTTGGGATAAGATTATTGGTCAGTATTTTTTTCAGGAGCACGACAGACAAACTACTTCACAAACTACTTTGTTTTTCTTCAATCATTAACTGTTCAAATTGTTTTTTATTAATGTTAAAACTATAAAAATTTAATCTATCTAAGACAGGAGATAGATTTTTTTCCATTTTCTTTCCAGTTTTTTTTTAAAGAGACAAGAAAAAGAAGATTACACTGGAAAAGAGGAGAGAAAATAAAGAAAAAAAGAGAGGAGAGTAACAAGAAAGGAAGAAATACAGAGATAGGTCAGATACGCTGCCAAAAAAGATAGAGGAAGAATGAAAGGATATAGAGAACAAAATTACAGGGGCTAAAGGAGAAGAAAATCATGGATATAGAGACAAAAGGAAAGGAGACCAAAGTGTCGTTGCTTTCCAGCTATTCTTCCAGCTCGGAGTGATTTGAAAATATTTTTTCTTTCTCATTTTCTTTTCCTCTTTTTCTTGCAGTATTGAAGATTGAACTCAGGGCCTCTTGCATGTTAGACAAACTATTCTACCCTGTGTGACAAGTCCAGTGCTTTTTTTTTCCAGACAGAAACTCCCTAACTTGCCAGTAGCTTCAATTACAGATACATACCAGCACACCCAGCCTCTTTGAAACTGTGAGGCTATAGAAATTAATAGCTTCTTTGTCTGAGAATCTCAGGTATTAGTGCTGAAAAACAATGTCAACACAAATGACTAGCCAAGCCCACTGGATTCAGTCATCTATCACCAGCCCTCTTTTATGGAGAAAGAAGGAGATGCTTAGAAAGAGCAAGGGATTTTTCCAAGGTCACATCTAATGTCTTTCCAGGGTCTCACCCAAGGAAGAGACTGGCCATAAAGGGGAGAAATATATTTCATTCTAACTCATCAGATGATACATTTGGGAAGGACACTATCATTCCAAATTTCTCCTCACCAAGAGTCTTTTGTGGCCTCTTTGCCTAAATGTCCTATTAGCATCTATACACATGTACACAAAAAGAATTCAACAGGCTTGGAGAGCTCATTGCTCTTCAGATGTTCAGAGGACAGTAACAGGATAATAGAATCACCACAGGAATACCAGCGCAACACACCTTTTGAACCAGAAGTTTCCTGAACACATTCTATTAAGAAATTTTTTCCTTTGTTTTTAAAAAATTTTATATAAATGAGGACAATGAGAAAAATACATTACATGGCAATTTATAGTTTTTTAAATGTTCTCAGATTATTTCTTCCTGTTTTGTCTTGACAACAATCTACAATTTAGTTACTGAAACTCAGAAGAGTTAAGTGGTACAACCTTGAGTCCTCTATTTTTCCATGAAGAGATTTGTAATAACGTAAGAGGAAACTTAAATGTATAAAGTAACATACTCAAGTAGCATTAGCTGTGAAGTGTTATTTGTATTTTCTGTCTACTTAAATCTTCCCCTCAATCTGAGGATGTAGATCATTGGTAGAGCTACCCAAGGCCCTGAGTTCAATTCCCAGCCCTAAAAAAATAATAAGAATAAAAAATCCTCATCATCTTCTATTCTTTTTCATACTTTGTTTCCTCCTTCTGCAGGCACAATCACTTCCTGGATAGTGATTTTTTTCCTTCCGGTAAACAGTGCCTTGAACCCGATCCTCTACACTCTCACCACCAGCTTTTTTAAGGACAAGTTGAAACAGCTACTACACAAACATCGGAGGAAATCAGTTTTCAAAATTAAAAAAAGAAGTTTATCTACATCCATTGTATGGACAGATGACTCCTCTTCACTTAAACTTGGAGTTTTGAACAAAATAACCTTTGGGGACAATATAATGAAACCACTTCCCTGATAATTGCTTTTAGATCACTTGACTTCAAAGGACTGACTGTAACAGGTACAGCTTTTGGAAGATGGCATCTACAATGCATTTCATCTTGGCCAGTGGTGACCTTTCTGCACAGAGGACACAGCAGAATGACTGCTGGTCCTGCATTTCAGGGGCAGCTCTACCACCTATCATCTGGGCTGAGACCTACACCTAAGGGTGCTCTACACACCTGAAATGCATGTGTGAATCCATACAGAGGAAGGCAACATGCAGGTTATCACTAGCTAGTCAACACTACCAGTCTCCCCATGAATGTCCATATGTAGACACTGCATGGTCTTCTCCATCTAGTTGCACTAGATGACATCTTATTCTAGTGTGACAATAATTACATAAATCTAACATCTCTTTCCTTGCTTTTTTGATATCAAATAAAATCATCAACATATTTTCAGTGCTATTACAGCAAAATATTTCTGAGATGTTTTCCCATCCCAGGTCCTACCTACGAAGGCTGGTGAGATAGCAACTCTGAAAGCATAACTTCATGCAAGTTATCATATCTAACATGCAGAGAGGCACACTATTAAGCCTAGTACCGTTTGCTTTTTTTAGTTTTTATTTAAGTTCAGAAGTTACTTTTCCAAAAAATTGCCCAGTACAGAAAAGAAAATTGAGCATCCCAACTGCCAAAAACTATATACTAATATTTTAAGTATAATTTTTAGAGCAGTATCTCTCTCTTGCTGTTAAATTCTGCCTTCATAGAACATACAGACACATGCTAAAGGAGAGCCAAGAATACTGGTTGAATTGGGAACCATTTGCTTATGGATAAATTCCTTTTTAAACTGAAAAAAGGAAAGAAACAAACAAAGTTTGGATCTGTTTCAAAAATGAAAACTGCTTGTGAAGGCCTGGACTTTTTTGTACTGAAAGTTTATGTGTTAAAAAAAATTGGGTAAATAAAATTATATTTTGCATTTGTCCATATGTTACTTAAATTTAACAATGAGGATGGTTAGAGTTTACTGACTGTTAAGCACACTTCTCCTGATAAAGAATAAAACTAAGAAATATAGCCCTTTGTTTTTAAAGATACACTTATACATTATTCCTCCTACTCCCCATTTGCTAAAGCGTGAGAAACTAAGTTAATTTCATCTTTCATTTCATTTTGTATTGTTCCTGTACTAAGATAAAATAGAAGCATGTGACTGAGAATTCCTATTACCTCCTATCAGATGTTGAATGTGATACCCTTTTATACAGAAACATCCAGGAGACAAGTAATCTCAGAGTTTGTGTGTCACTGCCGTCCTGATGATTTACTTGTTATTACTAAATATTGACTGTAATATGAGTTGTTTCATTTTGATTAAACAAGATATTTCTTATGTAAGTAAAATCTTTCCACTAGAATTTTAGAAGTAATGCTCCTACCCATTGACTAAGCTGCCCTTTTTTTAATGATTTCAATCTTCCCCTTATCATTTTAATACAATTACTTTCTTCATAACTTGTTCTCTAGATTCATTGACATTTTATTAAATTCCCTTTATCAAGCCTCAATCACTATTATGGTTTGGATCTTACATCGCTGATGTGTTAAAGGCTTGGTCCCCAGCTGGTGGCACTGTGGGGAAGTTTAGAGCCTTTAGCAAGTAGGGCCTAGTAGGGGGAAGTTAGGTTAGTAGGCTGTGTCCTTGAAGGGATATCGGGACCCCAGCCCCTCTTCTCTTTCTGCTTCCTATCAGCATGAGGTGAACAAGTTTCCTGTGCCAGGTGCTGCCATCATGACGTACTGTGCTGCCACAGGAATAAAAGCTACAGAGCCAAGAAACCATGAACTGAAACCATGAGCCAAATATATCTCTTCCTTTAAGTTGTTTATCTCAGGTATTGTCATGGTAATGAAAAGGTAAATGAATGATTATCATATGATTTACTTCCTAATATACTTCCCAAGAGATTCTAACCCTATGGTATTTCTAAAGGATAGGCTCAAAGCACATGGTGTTTCAATTTTAGCACAAATGTGTGTCTCCTATTCTTCAAAAGCATCATTCACAGCCCCTGAACCAAATATCTGAGAAGGGCCAGTTGTGAATACATTATCTTATTGCTGTTGAGTAGCAGGCATGAGGAGCAAAAGATCAGAAGCTTCAGGGAAATTGACCGCTAGATGGAAAAATTGAAGCTCTGTATTAATCAGCAATTTGTCAACAAATAGCAGGAAGTTGAAATCTGATGCCTTAGTGATTTCTAATCTTATTCTGCACTTCCATACAGATGGAAAATCTTTAGAAAGACATATGATTTTTGCAAATAATAGCGTTTTATCTGAATTGAGGTTTCTCGTGTTAGATCAAACCTGTTTTCTAAACCCAGTATTTTTATACAGTTAAGAAACAACCACCAGGGTTAATGAATCATTTCCTGCAACCATATAAACATTAATTAAATATCACTCAAGAATTTAAGAAGCCATAGACCATACCTCCTCTGAGTGAGAGATGGTAAAGACAAACCACCTGCTCCACATCCCCACTGTGTATCTGGGAGATTGACATCTGACTTAAAGAGAAAAAAAAGTATATCCTTAAAAGTGAAGATGAAGGGGGTGAAGGGAGGGCAGGGGTAAGGGAAAAAAATGAGAATCAAGACTTGTCATGTAGAGGTACAGGATCCCAACAATGAATGTAACTGTGCTGTATCCCTAAAATGTACCAATAAACTCAATTAAAGCTGGAAAAAAAAAAGTGAAGATGAAACCTCAGATGAGAGTACAGAAGGAGAGTATAAGGATTACGTATGTTAGATATAATATAACTGTGCTTATTTGTATCATCTCGTTTTATTCTTAAATTTCCATTCTTTCCTCTATCAAAATAGTTTGAGTGGTGTGGTAGCACTAGCCTATAATCCCAACAGTCAGGAGGTTGAGGCAGGAGGATTGCTGTGAGTTCAAGTCCAGGCTGGGCACACATTGAGTTTAAGGCCAGCCTGAACTACACAGCAAGACTCTGTCTCAAAATAAATTTTAAAAATCCAAAATGATTAGTGTCCATTGCATCTGGTAAAATAGCTTTTTGATGGTCAGGAGTTTTCAGTGAAATCACACATATCTCAGCTTGATATACAGGTGGCAGCACCATCTCTGTTCACCCCCACTTTATACCTCAGTGCTACATACTATTCCAATCAGCTGGACTCCATAGCATCCTGATGCCCATCACACTCTTACAGATATTAATCTCTTCAGAATGACTCTGGTGCCAGATCAAGTCCATATTTGGAGATTTGCTACTTATCTGCTCTTATTACATTTTCAAGAATTTATCTCACATCAGATAATTTTCTATGCTCTACCAAACTCAAATTAGTAAGCAATGTGGAGAACAAGAGAATGCATATGATAAAATTGAGAAATAGTAAAGTATCAGAAATTTTATGTAGCCTATCATTGTAGCTTCCAAAATTAATCATGAATACATGTGAGACATATTTCTTTTTAGTACTACAGTAAGTTGCTTTACCTTTACTTGAGAAACAGAATGCTAAAGATCAGCATTTGTCTGGCCATACTACCAAAACTGATATACAGATTCAATGCAATGCTGATTGAAATTCCAACAGTATATTTCACAGAACTAGAAAAAATAATCCAAAATTTCATTTGGAACCAGAAGAGACCTAGAATAGGAAAAGCCCTCCTAGGCAACAGAGACATGGCAGCGGGTATAACAATTCCCAATTAGAAACTATACTAGAAAGTCACTGTGATAAAAATAGCATGGTACTGGCAAAGAAACAGACCTGAGGACCAGTGGAATAGATTGGAAGATGCAGAAACAACTAGATAAATACTTAGCTCCCTCATCTTTGACAAAGGAGCCAACCATCCTCACTGGAGGCAAGATAGCCTCTTTAATACATGCTGTTGGAAAAACTGTATTTCAACCTGCCAAAGATTAAAACTAGATCCTTATTAGTAGGGGAAAGCTAATAAGGGAAAAGAAAAAATATGAGAAAATGAAAAAATGGAAATGAAATGTTTGTAAAGGGGGAGGGGAGGAGGGGTGAAGGGAGGGCAGGGACAAGGGGAAAAATGAGAACCAATGAGGAAAAAAAAATAGACCCTTATCTTTCACCATGCACTAAACTAAAATCCAAGTGGATTAAAGATCTAAATTTTAGAAAAAGAGTCACTAAATTTGCTGGAAACTAAGTTAGGCAGAACTCTTGAAGACATTGGCATAGGAAAAGACTTTATGAACAAATCCTCAGTAGCACAGGAACTAGCAGATAGAATCAACAACTGGGATCTCATCTTATTAAAAAGCTTCTGCACTGCAAAAGAAACCATCAACAGAACTCAGAGAAAACCTAAAATGTAGGAAATAGTTTTTACCAGCTGCTCCTCAGACAAAAAACTATTATCTAGAATATATAAAGAACTCAAAAAATTCAGCTCCCCCCAGATATAAAGACCCAATTCAAAAATGGGCATCTGAAATGAATAGACATGACTCAAAGAAGTAAAAGCAGCAAGTAAATATACGAAAAATGCTCCACATCACTGGTCATTCGAGAGATGCAGATGAAAACAACACTGTGATTCCACCTCACCCCACAAAGAATGGCTGCTATCAAGAAATCAGTAACAAATTTTGGCAGGGTTATGGGGAGAAAGGAACCCTTCTCCATTGTTGGTGTGAGTGCAGACTGATGCATCCACTATGGAAATCAATATGGAGACACCTCAAAGAGCTGGGACTAGAGGTTCCATTTGACCCTGCCATCCCTCTCCTGGATATTTTTCCAAAAGAATTAAAAGAATCATACCCCAGTGATATATGCACACCAATGTTTATAGTGGCACAGTTTGTAATAGCTAAAACTTGGAAACAGCCCATTTGCCCATCAGTTGGAGACTAGATAAAGAAGATGTACTTTTCTATAAAATGGAATACTACTCAGCCATAAAGGATGAGAAATTAAGAGTCATTCATAGGAAA